AGACATTCCTCTGCTACTCTCTGCTTTCAGCCAAGATCCATCTGACATAAGCTATAATGTCCCTAGTGCTATGGCCTCTTCTAAATCTAGCCTGCACTTCAGGCAGTTCTCTGTTGATGTGCTGTTCCAGTCGGTTTTGGATAATCTTCAGCAGAATCTTGCTTGCATGTAATATCAGTGTTCCTGTTTGATAATTTCCACACTGTCCAGTCACTTTTCTTTGGAATGGGAACAAATACAGATCTCTTCCAGTCAGGTGGCCAGATGGTTGTCCTCCAGATTTCTTGGTACAGCTTGGTGAGCACATCCAGGGCAGCATCTGTTTGTTGAAATATGTCATTTGGTATGCCGTCAATCCCTGGGGTCTTGGTTTTTTTCCATTCTTTCAGAGCAGCTTGAACTTCTTCCTTCATCACTACAGGCTCTTGCTCATACGTTGTTTCATGAAATTCTTCACCACCAGTTCTTTTGGTACAATGACTCTGTATATTCTTTCCATCTTCTTTTAATGCTTCCTGGATCATTTAATATTCTGCCCAAAGCATCCTTAAGTATTGCAATTCAAGGTTTGAATATGTTCTTCAGTTCCTTCAGCTTAAGAAATGCTGAGCGAGTTCTGTCCTTTTGATTTTGTGACTCCAGCTCTTTGCACATTTCATTGTAATACTTTACTTTGTCTTCTAGTGCTGCCCTCTGGAATCTTCTGTTCAGCTTCTTAATATCTTGATTTCTTCCCTTTGCTTTGGCTTCTCGTCACTCCAGTGCAATATTTAGTTTCTTCTGACATCCCTCTTGGTCTTTTCTTCCTCCTCTGTCTTTGTAATGACCTTTTGCATTCTTCTTGGATGATACTCTTAATATCCTCCCACAGCTCATCTGGTCTTTGCTCATTAATGTCCAAGACCCCAAACCTGTTTCTGAGATGGTTTTGAAATTAAACTTCAAATTTTGGTTCCTGTGTACTGATTTAATGTTCCTCAGCTTCAATTTGAACTTGCATTTGAGTAGTTGGCGGTCTGTTCCACAATCAGCACCTGGCCTAGTTTTCACAGCTGATACTGGGCCTTTCCAGTGGTTCTTTACACAGATGTAATCAGTCTGATTCCTAGGCAGACCATTAGATGAAACCCATGTGTATAGCCTGCATTTATGTTTCTTATAAAATGTATTTGCAATGAATAAGTCATTGAGTGTACAAAATTCTGTCATTCTATCTCTGGCTTCATTCCTGTCCCCAAAGAAAATAGCAACTAAGTTAATTGCATTTATTGTTAGATGCCCTTAGTTGGCTTCAACTCAGATTGACCCCAAGGATTACAAAAGAAGCTTTGCCCAGACCTCTGCCATCATCACAATCTCTGCTACTTATTGTCTTCATCTTTCTCTATTGATGATATTCTTTTCCAAGTTTTCCTCCATGGAATGTCCTAAATGAAGTTTCACTGTTTTAAGCTCTAAGGAGCTTTCTGGCTGCAATTCATCCAAGACAGATTTGTTTGTTCTTTTTGCAGCCCATTAGTTATTTGATGTCCTTTCCCAACTCCACGATTGAAGTACATCAGTTCCTCTTTAGTCTTCTTCATTCATTGTCCAACTTTCAGCCATATTGGAAACAATTCACAGTACCATGGCTTGAATCCTAAATAATGTTTTCCCTTTATTATATATAGGATCCAGGTTTTGTGCCGAAGTCAAACATAGACCTCCTTTAGGACCTTCAAAGGAGTCTTGGTAGTACAGTGGTCAAACGTTTGGCTGCTGTCAGACAAGTTACAGCAAATTCACCAGCTGCTTTGGGAGAAAGTTGTAGCAGCCTTTTTCCAAAAAGATTATAGCCTTGGAAACTCTGGTATCATTGGCTTGGCTCTTAGCTATGCCCAGCTAGATAGGAGTCAACGTTAAGTTTCTTCAACTAGTATGGAGAGTCAACATCAAAACCAATACAGTAATAATAATGGCTAGGGGGAAAATTTTTAAAAAAATTTATTTTCTGAGAAGATGCTGTACTGTAGCCAAGTTTGCATGAATTCCTATTCTGCATGGGGTAAAATGAGACCATTACTTTAAATATGTAAGAATCTAAAACTGCCTCATCCGTCTAAGAGTAAACTCGAAAGTCAGAGTAAATTTGCCAGTAGGCATTTATCTAAGCTTATCTTCTTTTTTGCTTCATTTTAAGAAACATTTTTGTTTTGATACATTTTAATAAACTGTTAGTTAAAGCACATGTTGTTGTTGTTGTTGTTGTTGTTGTTGTTGTTATGTGCCAACGAGTCGCTTGAGACTTATAGCGAACCTATGTACAACAGCCCTAAACTCTGCTCTGTCTTGTGCCAGTCGCACTGTCTCTGACACTCCCATCCCGATTACCCCAGTCACTGAATCAGTCCACCTCATAGAGGGCCTTCCCCTCCTGTGCTGTCCCTCC